CCCCTTAAAATACCCATGTAATGAACCATTAATTGACAAGGAGAACTTAGGCGTAGAGATGCATTCCATTACCCATGTGATCAAATTTTCAGGGAAACCCAGACCTGTCAACATATACTTGATAAAACTCCAATTGATAGTGTCAAAAGCCTTTCTTAAATCAATGTTGAGGACAGCTCTTGGAGAGACTTTCTTCCTGTCATAATGCTTTAACAGTTCATGGGCTAAGAGGATATTGTTAGAAACCAGTCTACCCTTAACAAATGCACTTTGTGCATCATCAATCAGAAAACCAATCACTTTCTGAATTCTGGTGGCAATGATTTTTGATATTATTTTGTATACACAGTTGCAGCAAGAAATAGGCCTATAGTCAGATGGAGATCTGGGGTTGAGGATTTTAGGCACTAAAGTTATAGAGGTTGAGTTGAAGGTATTGAGGAGCTTACCAGTGTAAAAGAATTCACCCACTGCTTTACACATATCATCTTTGATAATATCCCATGCAGTTTTGAAAAAAGATGCACTAAAGCCATCTGGACCAGGGCTTTTATCATCTGACATAGTAAAAACTGCATGCTTAATTTCATCTCTAGTGACAGGAGAACCAAGAATTTCCATTTGATTTGATGAGAGGACAGGACCATTTGCTATAGTTTCCAGATCAGGCTCAGAAGTGATTCCTGAAAATCCCAGCAAGCTCTTGTAATAGTTTATAAGCTCATTAATAATTGTATCCATATCAGATATTCTATTCCCATCCTCAGTATACAGGGATAATACCCTATTTTGATGTCTTCTAGCTTTCATAGCTGAGTGAAAGAACTGAGAGGACTTATCTCCATGAATAGCCCATTTTATATTTGCTTTCTGTCTGTAAAAAGATTCTTCACAATGTATCAGTAAGGTGTATTTCTTTAAGCATTCTTTTTCCATAGAAATAAGTTGAGGGTTGAATAGATCATTTGACATCAAATTCTGAATATCAGACAACTCCTGTTTAGCTCTTAGAACCTGCTCGCTGATATTCATGAAGTGTCTCTTATTTAGCTCTTTGAGTGCAGGCTTGAGCATCTTCAATTTGGAGGATATCTTGAACATATAATAGCCTTGCACATCCTGTTCCCAAATAGTTCTGACAATAGAAAGAAACTCAGGGTGCTTTGTCCACATCTTGAAGAACTTAAATGGCTTTTTCCCTTGGAAATCATCATCACCAATTGAAATGAGAGCTGGAGAATGATCTGAGCAAGCTGGTTGTAGAAAATCTACTTGACTAGAAGTATATTGAGAGATCCATTGGTCATTAATCAATACTCTATCCAATCTACTCCATACTCTAGTGTCAGCCTCCTGTTTATTATTCCAAGTGTAAAAACATCCAGTGGTCTTAATGTGCACCAATTGACTAGAGGAGATAAAATTCTGAAAATCTTCAGTATCAGAATCTGATATTGGTGCACCCCCCAATCTTTCATCACCACTGAGAATGGCATTGAAGTCTCCCCCAAGCAACCAAGGCCAATTAACTGTTGATTTGAAACTTTGAAGGTCCTGCCATAGTATTTTTCTCCCCTCTCGTTGATTAAGGGCATAGACTACAGTCATTAAACAGAAAAACCTGTCATCTCTAGACTTGACTGTGCATGTTACATATTGGACAGAAACTTTAACACACTGAACAGTCAGAATATCACTATTCCAAAGAAGCCAAATCCTTCCATTACCTGCTTCCTGACCATTAGAAGTCCATTCCCAGTTTTTTGCAATTTTTTGAGCTATTTTACCCATCTTATCCATAGAAAGCTTTGTTTCTAAAAGAGCTATAAAAGATATTTTGTACTCATGAATAAATTGCTTAACTATTAGGTGCTTAGAGGACTTATTAAATCCCCTTATATTCCAGATAGAAAAATGCATTATTGCCCCCCCACCCCTGTCAATATAACAGGGATCAAAATCAAGAATATGTGATTCCAGAGGGGAGAAATGAGATGTCTGTGTGAAATTCCCTGAAGCTCTAACCATTCCTCTTCTTGCTATATTTGATCTATTTACACTTGTAAATCCAGATGCATTGACTGTTGGAGAAGAAATTTGTTGAAATGTTGCTAATCCAGGATTCCCAAGTCTTATACTCTGAATATCAGTCATATTAGCTTGTGCATGTTGCACAGGTACAGCAGAATAAGTTTGTCTTTTGCCAGATGGAGTTTCTTGTACACTTTTTCCAGTATCAGTTCCCAGAATAGTCTCAGCTTCCATTTGCACATGTTTCCCCCCAGAATCAGAAACAAGCACAGTTCCAGAATTTCCTGGCAGAGCATCTTTTTCTTTTTCTTGTGCATGTTCATCAATTTTTTTCTTGACTGGAACCCACATTTTCTTGACCTTATGCCTTCTACAATTTTCTGTTTCATGGCCAATAATGTTACAATTTGAGCACCACCTAGGCTTTAGTTCATAAATTATCCTCTGACTGTATTTTTTGCCATCAGGCCCTTGAAATTCAATCAGGTCTGGTAGAGGATTCTTCAGGGGTAATTGCACCTCAATTAACACTCTAGCATAGCTCAGTCTCTGTCTAGTGGCAGTAAGCATATCAGTTGTTATGGGACATCCAATTAAGCTAGAGATTTTACTAATTCCTGTAGTACTCCACAAGTTAAGTTTCAGATTTGGGAGCTGAATCCACATTGGATAAGAATAGTCCTGAATATTCTCCATTTCAACTTCAATAGACCATGGCTTTAGCATCAAAGGTCTTGATCCAAAGAACCAAGGCCCAGCTTCCAACACCTCCCTCATCTGTTGTTCAGATTGGAAATCAAACAGAAAAACCCCTTGCTTGAGCAAAGAAATCCTAGGGATTGATATTCTACCCCAAGCTTTACTTATATATGATTCCATTGATCTAAACTTCACATTTAGTCCTATAACATGTCCAATCAAGGAATACTTCCAAAAATCTTCACCCTCCCTCCATTCCTCAGCAGTAAAAGAAACAGCAGCAGAGGGAGAAGCTGGAATAAAATTGAGAGCGAGTCCTTTACCTGGTTTTCTGTTATCTGCGAATAGACTGGCAAATGATTTTTTAGTCTCTTCCTTCTTAGGCTCATCTCGCTGATCTAATACCTCTACATTGCTTTTCCCCTCTCCTTCCAGATTGATTTTACCAGATTTATCTCCTTTTTCAGTAGGAGGGGGAGAAATCACAGAATTCTCAGCTTCCATCCTCTCATTTGCAGATTGAGCAACAATAGGAGTAGAAATCTCAACATCAGCATCCATCATCTCCATTGATTCAAGTTAAATCACTAATCAATTCTTCTTCCATTTCATCAGCCCAAGAGGTTGAATTAGATGTCTCACCTAGCTGACGAGCAAGAACTGGACCAGATCTGAGCAGGTCTGGATCTGAAATCGCCCTTGTTTTTGTCAGAACCTCCTCCATTAGCATTTTGTGAAATGATATAGTTACTCACTTAATTAAGCTTCTTGAATCGTCTACATACTAAGGACAATTTAATTAAGAAAGGTTGGCAAGGTGAAACCTCATGTATCTTATGTGGAATATACCCTGAAACTTGCAACCATATCTTCTTTTCATGCAACATTGCAAAATCAATTTGGAAACATTTTAGTGATTACTGGTTACCTTTCGTCTGGCCTTCATCACTTGATGGACTATTGTCATCAGTTAATTCGCTTCATAATAAGGAAGGTCTTATTTGGCGAACTATCTTCTCTGCAGCATGTTGGTTCATTTGGTGTTCAAGAAACAAGTTCATTTTTGAGCAAATACCTTTTTCTGCCCATTCAATAATTAACTCTACTATTGTTGCTTTACATGAATGGGCAGGTGCTGGTATCAAAAAGAAAGCTCTCATGTTGGCAAGTGCTTTGGAGGAAAATCCGATTAGAAGGAGCAGTGGTTAACATCTCTTTTTGGTTCAGGGAGTTTTGGTTCCTAAATACTTTTGTAGTCAGCTTTTTTGGTGTTTCTGGTGCTTTTAAATTAGTTTATAGAAGTTTTAATTTCCTTATCCTATATGTATGGCCGGCTTTGGTTCTCTTTTATATCTATGTCAACGTTGAATGACGTCAAGGACCGCTCTTTAACTTCATGGATATTTAAGAGAAGAAGGTTATACATCTCTAGATTGGGAAATTACTATTTCTATCTACTAATTTCTTTATAAGGATACAGTTCGTATCCTTCTTTTGTAACGTTGAATGACGTCAAGGACCGCTCTTCAACTTCATGGATATTTAAGAGAAGAAGGTTATACATCTCTAGATTGGGAAATTACTATTTCTATCTACTAATTTCTTTATAAGGATACAGTTCGTATCCTTCTTTTGTAAAGATATTTGTTTATTAATATTAATGAACAGGGTATATCCCTTGTTTTTTATCGTCAAAAAAAAATTAAGCTTCTTACGAATGCGTACTTTTAAAGAGACTTGGTGTCTTACATTTGTAGCGTCATGTAAATTGCCACTGCAATAGTTTTTTTTTTCTTTTATTTTTTCCCTAATTGCTCTTTTATGAGACGTCAGTTAGTAATGTTATTTTGAGTAGCAATCAATCAAGTCCATGGTAGCTCACTTCAAACTATATGTATAAATTTAGTATTTGGGTATGGATCCATATACAGTTTGTAGTATGGGATAAGTATTGTCGAGATACATATATACTTTATTTATAAACTAATCACATGCTTACGCAGAGGCTTAGTTTTATATTTGCCATGTAGAATCTTGTCTTGTTGTTTGAGTTGGAACTAAGATTCCTTCTAATGATGATTAATTGTAAGTTCTTGCTAATAAAAATATGCTTCCTCTCTCAATGCCAACATGGTAATATTAAGTGAAGTACACGGTTTATCTGTATACTTCTTTAAAAAATCCAATTAATTAAGGACAGTCTCATGCTCCGTCTATAAATAAGCATAACTCACTTGCATCTTTCACCCCTCTCTTGTTAACAATAAAATTCTTTGTAGTGATACTAGATTAGAAAATGGGTGGAACATCTCCTTGTGCTTCTTGCAAACTTCTAAGAAGGCGATGCGCCAAAGACTGCATCTTTGCGCCCTTTTTTCCTTCGGATGATCCTCATAAGTTCGCCATTGTTCATAAAGTCTTTGGTGCTAGCAACGTGAGCAAGATGTTGCAGGTCTTTAGTCTAGATCCCTCTTTCTCTATATATGTTCCCTTTGTGTACTAGTTAAGATTTTATTTATTTATTTGAGAAGTCCAAATTCTTCATTAATAAAGAGAAAGGTAATTAATGACAAAAAAGGTACGAGAAAATACTCGTGCAATTTTCAAAGATTAAATAGACTACGTACATATGTAGAATGTGTTGAATTTTCATATTTTAAACGACAAAAATTGAGTTTTCCTTCTTGTTTCTTTCTTAATTGACATGGCTTGTTCCTTTTTTTTATTTAACTTTTGTTATTTGTTCATGTGTATCTGTCATTCGGTGTATTGTGTTTGGAATGATCATAAATTCATCCTATAAACCATGGTCTAGATGATAAGTGCATTAATTTATAGGGCCGGGCTTCATCTAATTACATGGCTGTACCCTGGCCCGGCCCAGTCATTCTACATTTTTTCTTTATTTGTTTCACTGTTAATATTTTACAATTTGTTTTGAAAATAACATATTAAACATCTTTTTTTCTTTGGATTTATAGCTCGGACCTAAAACCCAACAAAATGAAGGTACGTTTTGAGATTTCAAAAAATGTACGTATAGCCTATCAATTATAGCATTCCTTAAATCCAACTGCTACTTTCTTTGGTACGTGAAGTTTCAACTAACACGTGCTACCCAAAAATGACTTTCACCGTCTACTCATGTGCTCAACTATATTTCTAACCTTATAAACTAATTAACAAATATTAATTACATAATTTCGATCAGGAGCTCCCGGTGCATCAAAGAGCAGATGCAGTGAGCAGCCTCGTCTACGAAGCAAACGCTCGGATGAGAGATCCAGTTTATGGTTGCGTCGGCGCAATCTCTTTCCTCCAAAACCAAGTATCTCAACTTCAAATGCAGCTTGCAGTGGCTCAAGCAGAGATTTTATGCATTCAAATGCAGCAAGACCCTCCATTGAGCACTCACGATCACCAGCAAATGCTAGAGCCTGATGATAAATTCCTTATGCACAATAATAATCTTGGTTCTGTGCCTCAGTTCATTAATTTTCCTTCATCTAGCAATGTAGCTCAAGAGCCTCTCAAGAGAGAGTCTCTTTGGACATAAACTTGTATCGTTTTTGTCTTATTAATGAATGTTGGCTATGTTAATGTTAAGATGGTGTTTTTCTCTCAATTTCTCGCTTTGACGTACGTACATGATTTAACTGGTCAATTATGAGTACTCATAAACTAGTACTTAAGGAGACAAAAGTTTAAGTTGTTACATTTTTTTATTAATATATGATGAGATGGGATCATTCCATCATGTTAATTTCACTGATGCATATGTATAGTATTATGCTTTATGTAGACAATTAATGAAAATGAGCAATAATGTACGTAACCATACTAATTAGAAAGCAATACTATAGAGATATAGTAATATAGTACTAAATGAAGCTGAGTTGGTCGTTACTCCAATTTAATTTGGACCAAGTAAACTTAAGAAAATCGTATATATGAATCTGATTTTGTATCTTGCACATGGATGGACATATACATTAGATACATAGGAGCATATACCACTCTCTTTTATATGATAATCACTTGTATATATTAAAAGTATGATATTCCAAATAGCTTAATATATATACTTTAATGTAATATCATACCAATTTGTTTTATATATCAATAGCTTTTTTGTCAATCAAGACAGACATCTAATACACTCCTTATGATATGATATATCTTCTCTCTTAATCTTGCTCCCCATGTTCATTAATTTATTTAAATATGGTCATGTTCTTCTAATTTGATTGGTCACCTAATTCACCACAAATGTAATTACTAACGATCATCATGTGAGACGTGGAGTAAACTTGGGATTTACCTCTATATATATACGCTGCTTATTCCTTAATTAGACAAAACAACTCATTACATGAATATATTATCAAGGTTTAGTGTTATCCAGCTTCGCTAAACAAGTTGAAATTAGAACTTACAATAACTTAGGCTACAAAATTTTAGATCTCGTCCCATCATCTTCCTACTTGCTTTCACGTGGAGATCAGTGCCAGCAGTTCTGGAATCTGAAAACATTTTTAAAAACAATTTTTAAAAAGTAGAACAAATAGAAAATTATTCTATGTCTTGTCCTAGTGGTGTACGTGTCCATTTTAGTGTAGTATTTTGTGTGAACAAAACAAAACCCACGTCAGTTTGAAGATTCCTTGCTTTGTCTTTTCTTCATCTTCTTGACTCAGACTCACGCGGGTTCAATCCTAAGCTTGGTTGTAGTTTGGTGAAGTTCTAAAATATTGGCTAACATGGGACCAAAGTTTAATTCTTGTTTGGTGTCAACTTTTAAAAATTGAGAAAAATCAATATAGGTGTGTGAAAAGGTTCACTACTGTCAATTTTATTTTCTCTTTTTTGCTTTAAAATTAAAGACGGGGATTGACCATTTCTTATCATTAGAATAATTTAGGACTTAGTCACGAATGAGATCATGAACTTGGAAATAAAGAAATAATGTTAGGAATTGGACTTATATATATTTTTATTTGCGCGCGCATTTCCAACTCTTGTCGTGTTTTGACAATATGAAGATCGTTCAAAAGTTCAAAGTAGAGGGATGTTTGTGAATTTATGTCACATAATGATGCTTTGGTCCTCAGAGCAATGACACTTGGCAGTACCTATTGAAAATACAAAAAAGACAGGCTAGACATTTTAATTTCATTTGCTATAGTCAAGCTTTGGTTGGTTAAAAAAGAGGCTTGGATCATGAATTGTTTAAATCACAAATCAGGCTGCACACCTTTTTTTTTATAAGAAAATATAAAACAAAAATTCCATGCTCATATTCTTTGAATTAATGAAGTCCTCAAAACAAAATGGCGTTTAAGCAAAACAAAATGGCCTTTAAGAGGGGCACCAAGATATGAATAATATATCTCACGATCGAGAGGTTTAAATAATAACTCTCATGGTCTTAAATTTGATTGTAGACTAGGTTTATAAAATAAATAAATAAATAAATAAATAATATATCTCTAGTTCATGGCCCTATAGCTAGTGATGTTTTCTTATGCCTTGTATACGCCCAAACATCACCCAACAATTATGAAAAAGGCTTAAAAAGCTCATAATATTGAAAAGCTGGCTCGGCCCGATTAAATTCTCAAGAGCCCATATTCCACACATTCATCTAATCATGATAAGGTCCGTACCACGTACTCAGAACACATGAACGGGAGCAAAGATACTTCATGCACCGTACAAACCATCACAGGTACTAGTATAACTTGCTAAACAAGAGAGAAGGAGAAAACAAAATAAAAATAAAAATAAAATAAAATGGGGGCACCAATTAATCTTGCTCTTAGTAGTCCAACAGAGGAGCAAAGGGGGAAAATATGTAGAATTTTGGGAGGTGAAGGGAGATTTTTTTTTTTTTTTTTTTTTTTTTTTTTTTTTTGAACCTTAGCTTGAATTATCAAGAGGTGATGGATGCTTGGTCTGATAGAGGCTCACTATATATGGACTCCTGCCAATTAATGTGGATGTCTGTTCTGTAAGTTTATTGAACTTTTTGCGGTCCTTCACATATTAGTTTAGAGTAATTAAGTGCGTATATACCTAATTAATGTTATATAAGAGGTTAGTCATTTAATTATTATAAACTCTTTGAGAAGACATGCATATAAGTTCAGGTCTTTATCTAAACAATTTGTTGCAAGTTAACAGGGGTTAGTCGTTCGGGATTGTTACTTAGGACTCGGACTTTTTTGTCGGATTTTAATACAGAATTTATACCATTGTGAAATATTGGAAATGATGTAATTTGGCGCTGACGAAACTGCTAGGATGAAATAGATATTTTAATTTGATGATTTAATTAGGTAGGAGAAGTGACAATGGTACTTGATCGAGGAAGAGAGGGAGAGAAGGCGAGCCAGTGTGCTCAAATACAAGGAAAAGCAAAAAATTAAGGTATGAAGTTCGAAGGCTAAATGCACAAAACAGACCTAGATTCAAGGTAAGAAGATATTTTTCAAAATAGCCTCAAACCAATTTTTTACTGAAAATAAACTTTCCTTTATTTTTATTATAGAAATAGACTCACTTTCTGGCCACGTCAGCAGCGTGGCCAGAAAGTTGGTCTATTTTTTTTTTTCAACGCCTTCCTAATTAGTCGGGATTGCCAACCCCGACTAATTTGGGCTTGCAATTTGCCAGCCAAATTAGTCGGGGTTGGCAACCCCGACTAATTAGGAAGGCGTTTAAAAAAAATAGACTCACTTTCTGGCCACGGTGCTCACGGGACCAGAAAGTGAGTCTGCTTCTGTAATAAAAATGTAAGGCATCGATTTTTTTTTTAAAAAATTGATTTGGAGCTATTTTGAAAATTTCTTCTTCAAGGTAATTGTGCTTTTTATTCCTTTGTTTTTTAGAATTTTTTGTTTAAACTCCTCATTTCTCAGTTTATTTCAAAGATGCCCATAAACAGAGAAATTAAGAGCTACAATATTTAAGTCCCATAAAAACTGTAAAAAGAAAAAGGAAAAAAAAAACTCAAACTCTCATAATTTCCCTCTATATTTAAGCCGTAAGTTTTTTTATCTACCTGATCATTCAGTTTGCAGAAAAAGAAGAAATTCCTTCTATCTTTTAAGTGATTGGATTTTTATTGCAGGGCCGGTTTGTGAAGTGAGGTCCAGATTCATGAGGCACAAGTCCACGTCTACGAAAATATTGAGGCAGATTCAGGATATTTTTTGCCAAAAAGGAAGGAATATGGTCCCCATATAATGATACATGCGTCTGTAGACGTTGTCTTCATGCAAGATTCTTGAACATTTCATTTGCAGCCCAAAATCTGTTCAACTTGTACTCAAATTAGGAAGTTCGTTGAGAGTTCAGAGTTCTCAGTTTTTCTCGTGTCATGAAATATCTTGATGTTTGAGCTGAAGAATACAATTCATTCTTGTTTTGGTTTTATAGGCAAGAAGAATAGATTAAAAATTGTGAAATCAGTTGAATTTATCTGCACAAAATAATTCTGTTTATAAGGAGCAAGAATTCTATCAAATACCATTCACATGTGGGTGGGTCGACAGTTAGTTTGAGAACTACAACTCCTCACTTCAAAAGATTGCGTCAAATTTGTGGGAATTGTTTATATTCTGTTAAACCAAAATCCAAATGGCTTGAAATTTTTCGCTGAGAGATCAATCAGGAGAACACACAAAGTTTAAAGCTTGAATGTGAAATTCTATAATTGCTCGCAAACATATCAAATAAAATGCAAAGAAAACAACAGCAAACATAACTAAAGTAAAAACAATTAGAAGATTTCCTAACAAGATAAACACCCCCTCAAAAAAGCTCATAAATACAATAATTGAATATCCACCTCATCACCCTAACCTTGCTACCACTTCTCTGTCAAAAATAAAATCAGAACTGCATCAAATAATTTGACCTTGTAAATTAACACATCTCTTCAGGTAACAGCAGACATCGCCAGACTCTTGCACAAATCAAGATCCTTTCAGTTAAATCCTTGAGCTATACCCGGGTTAGAACACGGTTACCAGGTGATGTAAGGCTTTTCTTACTTCCTCCTGCTCTTAGATTTGAACCCTGATTTTGAACGATAACTCTTAGAATCTGCTTTTTGTTTAGACTTCTGTCTTTTGCTCCGACCCTTGTGCTTTACTTCATCAATGGCATTCGCCTTTGAGCCTAGTTCCTCTCCAAAACCCATAAGCCTCTCATACTCACTTTCATCAATCACCCCCTTCTTCAGTTTTTTAAGTAATCGATACTCGTGATCCAACTCTTCGACATCTTCTTTTGTTTGAATGGCTTTGCGTTGTTTGCCCGTTTTCTTCCTTGAAACGGTAGTTGTATCATCTGAGGTTCTTCTATTTCTCTCTGGTTTTGGCCCCCGTGAGGCTTCTTCTTCCTGTTTCTTTAGCAGGAGTTTTTGTCTTTGTTTCTCTCGAATTTTATCTCTGAATTTACAGTAAGAAAATTGAATAAAAATGATAAAAAGGAGGAATGCTTTTTTATTTATATACCTCTTAAACATGAGTATTTGCAAAACTTCCCCCAAATATCATAATTTGCGTTACTACCCAAATCATCAACTTTGGAAAAGAAGAAAAAATCTAAATCAATAAATCATTGACTTCGTTGATATGGTGTAAAAAATTGACTATTTTCTTCCAAAGTTGTTGATTTGGGATAGCTTTGCAAATATTGACATTTGGGGATAGTTTTGCAAATACTCATGATCTAAGGGGTATACATACAGAAAACTGCATTGATCTATAGTTAGGAAGGAAATTCAGATTTTTACCCAGTTCCATGGCAGGCGAACAAGCAACCCAAGCATACAAGGTTTACATTGATGGAAAAATTGATGCTATTGCAGAGAGAGATTGCTTACTTGTACGTGATCTCCATTAGATTAATATCCTCTACAGGAATAAAACCATCAACAGATAAAGAATGATGCTTCACCTCCGGCATCACAGGGATCTGTAGTAGGCCAAATCCCATGGCCAGCTTCCCAATCTCCAGCTCCTTCCACCTGAAAAATGTATTTTCATTAGGAAAAAAGAAAAAAGGAAAAAGGAAATAAAACAAAGAAACATGGATGCCAGCGCTCAAAAGGATTAAAACAACCTTAAGATGTAAGAACAGTGGTGCTCTTTATATGCACGAATAAATGATACGAATGCTTTAAGGCCCTTCTCCATCACATCACGGTCTTCTCTTGCAGCAGATCTTATCTGTAGTTATCATTACAATCATTTTAGATGACCTCCTAAAAAGTTTGAAAAAAAATGAAAATTTTCTGTAGTCAAAAGTGAAGGGCACTGCTTCTAAAAGTATATGAGAATATGCACGGAAAAAGAAAAACAATACATTTACCCAAGAAAAACAATGACCATGTGATCTTCTATTGAAATATCCCCCGCCAAGAAAGAAGCGGATATATATTTTACAATACTACATAATATACAATAGTTGGGCTAACAAAATTTGGATTAAACGAAAACCTCAAACAAACACGAAACTGTATCAGTTATAAAATATTCATGGTTAAATATGTAGAGGGGAAACGATTTAATTTTGCTACAGAAAATACTTGCCAATGGAACGACATCAAAAGCATCAGAGCAACATTCTCTCTCTTGGAGAGGTACTCTTCTTAAACGAAGGAACTCTACATAAGCGTCTTCCTGCATAGAAAAATCAAATTAAACTCAAACAAGGGTATAAAGCCTTCAATTAAGAAATCAATAGGAATAAGATTTGTAAGAGCAAACCTTCGGCAATAGGAAAACAATAGCACTTCCTTGCTTTCCTATTCGTGCAGTCCGGCCAACTCTATGCACAAAAACATTTGGATCTTGAGGAGGGTCGTACTAAGCAAAGAAACAGTAACCCTGTTAGCATCTCTAATCAAGATGATGGAGAGAGTCCTATTCCTTCCTTTTAAACATAACTACGAATACAAGCACTACATAGATACATCAGGAGTAAGAAAGGAGGGAAAGAAATCAAATGTTGAAGTCCTCAAATGAAAAACCTAAATGGGCACTTAGCAGATATCTATGCATAAATAATCATGTTTACACCCAACATATATAGAGCTCAATCTCCAATTGAATAAGTAAAGTGTACTGACACACATCCGAAACAATTTAGCAAGAGGCAACCCTACTCCCATGCCAATCAAACACCAGGAGGAAAAGTTTTTAACTTAACATACACTTCCTTTAACTTCTCTTATGCACATGTCATATTCTGGTCCTCTTTTTAGAATATTTACTATGTTGTTATTTAAGGGAGGGGAATGATTCAACTACACCAAAGGGAAGGGGATGGTAGGGGAAGGAACAAAATAAAACTAATTGTGTTTGAATAGAGAATGAGGGCAAAAGGGAGTACCCTCCCATTTGTGTTTGATTAGAGTAATGAAAGAATTTGTACATGTAAATGTTCTTTTTTTTTCTCCAAGGACAATTTTGGAATAGTGGAAAAGTTTCACTTAAACTCAATCCCTCCCCACCCAATCCGTAGACTTTAGGAGGGTTAGGAAAGTGTGTGAATTTGCTTGTTTTTAACCCTTCCATCTCTTCCCCTTGCTAATTAAAATTTCTAAATAAACACAACTTTTGGAGGTTAACATCCTAACCTTCCCAACGCCTCAACTTCCTCTTTAAAAAACCTATTCAAACTCACCATAAGTGTAAGAGCATTTTAGAAAGAATCAATATTCATTATTTCACTATCTTTTTACAAGTAACCTTGTGTATTTATAGCAATACAAGAGGATGCATGCCTTACATTCTGGTCAAAGATCTAACAGAAAGGTACCATCTTTAACTTACAATTGCCAAAACTAATGTCATCCAAATGAATAGATCAATAGAATTAGGCAAGCTTGTCATAGTAAAAAACACTAAAACATTTTAGAAACCTTTCTTGCAGTGACCAGACAAAAGGATTTACCTGTACAATCCAATCAACACCCGGAATGTCAAGTCCCCTTGCAGCAACATCAGTGCACAAAAGAACACCACTCGGAAGTGCAGTAAAAGATGCTAATGCTTTCTCCCTTGAAGACTAAAAAGTTCAAAATTAAAACTCAGCAAATACTAATATGCACATCTCAAGTATTAGGCTGCAGAAGCGAGCAAGTGTACATGATAAAATCATTGTCTTTTTCACCTGCTTCATCTTCCCATGAAGAGGAATTAGTGAACAGTCTTTGAGAGCTGTAAGCTGTGGAAGAACTTTTCCCCAGTAATCAACACAAGCACATGTCATGAAGTAGCTGAAATTAAGTCCATAAATGAGCAAACAAGAATTTCATAGAATCTAATGTTGTGCAATATCATAATTATTATGATAATGCATATAGAAAGATAAATAGGAAATATCCAAGAGTTCGCATATCTTCATACATGATTATCTTGTTTGAAACGTTTTTGGATAAGAATTCAACAAGCTGTGATGGCTTTCTCTCTGCTTCACATAGCACATACTGCAAAACATTGACGAATTTAGAACATTGATTTAATTGCGGAGTATTAGGACATTCTATCAGTCATTCTGATAATATGAGAAGTGCCAGCAAAATGCAACATATTCCAAGTATATGTTGGATCATGAATTTAAATAATGCACTAAGGAAATTGAAGATCATGTCATGTCATAATAGTAAGATGTAAAGAGCAACTTATTGAACACATTGAGGTCATGAATTGCCACTATGGATCGAATTTTCCAAAATAATGAAGACATTAAATACTGCTTTTCAACTAACACATTTTTTAATAGCCTCCGCTTCAAATCTTTCAAAAAAAATCTAAGACTAAATTATCTACACCTCTACCAGAGTTCACACTGAAGTTTGCTGTGCTTCTTCCAAAATCAGCTGCATACTTGAGGAACCTTGAACTTTTAGAGCATAGCCACCATAAATCTACAAACAATCGACTAATGCAAAAATGTAAAGAGAACTTTGTTTTCCCACGAACAACATTGTTCATGGCAGAATTATAGAGCTGCAGGAGACTGAAGACTTTCTAAGAAATCTATGACTTCAATATAGGAGAATGGGGTCATCGAATGTACTCTGTGACAGAAATCTGAAAATGCTCTTAATAGGACGTGGACTGTGATTGGAGTGTGAGTCACACGCATGGTTTAACACAATGCACTTAGGGGCGTGTTTAACAAGTTGAAAGTGAATTGAAAGTGTGAATTTACTTTCTTTTTACAAATGGCTTTCATGTTCGTGCTAGATTTAAGTGAAATACAATGTTTATTTGAG